CGTTTGGCCAACTTGTTTTCGGCCCGTTCTTGTTCGGACGTTCCTTTATTTCGCTTCGGTATCCGGCCGAACTGCTTCGCGTGCTCGACGAGCGTTTGCAGAGGGCCGCTCAATGCAGCACGCTGAGGAGCAGCGCTGTTCCCTGCCGCAGGCTGAGGAGCACCGCTGTTCAATGCAGCAGGGTCAGGAGCACCGCCGCCAGACCGAGTACTATCAGCGTGTCCTGGCATTAAGGTGTGCAGTAGGCGCTGCGCAGTTCCTTTGAAAGGAAATCTTCGAAAGCAGGGCTGTAGCCAAGAAGGCTACGGGGACGATGGTGATGATGAAGATGATGAGTCTTGGAAGTCTGGGAATTGGAAGAGCACGAAGTGGCGTACAGTTGGCTCCGGGCATTCAAAATGTGGCCCGGGAATGGAGTTCTGGGAAATGGAAGAGCACGAAATGGCCTACATTTGGCTCCGGGCATTCAAAATGTGGCCCTGGAATGGTGTTCTGGGAAATCCAAGAGCACGAACTGGCTTACAATTGGCTCCGGGCATCCAAAATGTAGCCCGGGAATAGAGTTTTGGGAAATCGAAGAGCACGAAATGGCCTACAGTTGGCTCCGGGCATCCAAAATGTGGCCCGGGAATGGAGTTCTGGGAAGTCGAAGAGCACGAAATGGCCTACAGTTGGCTCCGGGCATTCAAAATGTGGCCCGGGAATGGAGTTCTGGGAGGTCGAAGAGCACGAAGTGTGTGACTGTTTGCTTAAAACGAGCCCGGCCCTCGCCTGTCCGGCTCCCGCCCAGACCCCCCTGGGGAGTCATCAGATGCTCTCTTTTGACCGCATTAGAAACCTATCAGTCTTCGCTGTTAGGCAACAACACAATGCCAGATATGTACGATCTGCGCTGCCCTCATCTCCGCCCTGCCTCCCCCGGGCTCACGAAAGTAGCGACAGCTGCGCACTTCGTAGCCACCCAGGAAGCAGTGAGGTCTCGTCTGGGTGCAGGTGGCCCCAGACTTTGCTGAACCTCCCAGGAGACCACGAACATGCAGCCAGTTGCGCAATTTGCAACATACCAGGGAACCGCGAAGTCCCGTCTGCGTGCGCGTGGCCCCCGACTCCGCTGGATCCCCCAGTTGCCAACGAAAACGGCGCCAGTTGCACAATTCGCAGCCTCCCAGGGAGCAGCGAGGTCTTGCGTGGCCCCGACCCCGCTGGACCTCCCAGGAGACCACGAAAGGGGTTGCAGTTGCGCACTTCGCAGCCACTCATGGATCAGCGAAGTCTCATCTGGATCCGCGTACTCCCCGACTCCACAACGCCTCCCAAGAGACCGCGAAAATGGTGCTAGTTGCGCAGCTCGCAGCCACCCAGGGAGCTGCGAGGTCCCGTCAGGGTGTGCGTACTCCCCGACTCCGCTGTGCCTACCAGGAGCCCACGATAGTGGCGCCAGTTGCGCAGTTCGCAGCCACCGAGAGAGCTGCGAAGTCCCGTCTAGATGCGTGTGCTCCCCGACTCCGCCGTGCCCACCAGGAGCCCACGAAAGTGGCGCCAACTAAGCAGTTCGCAGCCACCCAGGGAGCTGCGAGGCTTCGTCTAAGTGCGCGTACTCCCCGACTCCGCCGTGCCTCCCAGGAGGCCCCGGAAGTGGCGCCAAATGCGCAATTCGCAGCCACCCAGGGAGCTGCGAAGTCCCGTCTGGGTGCGCGTGCTCCCCGACTCCGCCGTGCCCCCTTGGAGCCCACGACAGTGGCGCCAGTTGCGCAGTTCGCAGCCACCCAGGAGGCTGCGCAGGAGAAGGCAGGAGGACCAGGAGGGTTGGGAAAAAGAGGGACCATCCTCGAGAGGAGAGGGGGCAAGGGGAAAAGAGAGGAAGCGGGGGTCGGGTAACGCTGGGAAACGTCGTGTTCGGATTCGCATCCGTGGCTTCGGCGCTGCTGCGAGTGCTGCTGGCCGCTGTGAAGCTGCTGGCGGCGCTGGGGCTGCGCTGCGCGGTGTCCCGTCCCTTGTGGGGGCCTACTGGCGACGCTGCCCAATTTGGCCGCGGCGCTCCTGGTAGAACCGTCATCGCTTACTGCCCCTCGGTCGCCAAGATGGTCTCGGCGTTCTCGAGATGTTACGCGTATTCTGCAGTTTGTTAGCTGTGGCGGGTTACCTCTGTCCGCTCCGCAAGAGGAGACTATGTCGTGACCCGTGCGCCACCGTGGCGTCCCTGGAGCGGCACCCCGTCTCGAAAACCGCTGGGCTGAGCTTCGCTCCCATCTGACCGGTTTCAAGCCGATTTGGCGTTGTCCGCGTTGGAGGCGGCGAGACCATCTTAGTTGCCGCATGAGCACTTCGGGGCGTGCCGCCCTCGTCGGTCGAGCGCCTGCCCGCGCAAGGTTCTGCGGCGACTGCAGGTTGCGCAAGACGGGCACACTGGCAACTGCAACTTGTCTGCGAGGTAGACGTTGAATTTTTCATCCGTTATGTTAGCTGGCGCCCGCCCTTCCCGCGCGACGGGCGGTTCCAGGACCCCCCCCAGCGCCAGGGCCGCCAGGCGACTGGAAATCCACCTTGTCGTCTCCTCCCAAGGAGGCCAGCAGCCTCTCGAAGTCCTTGCTGCGGAGGTCGCGCGACCACTTGTCATGTATGTCATGGAGTGGTTTGCCCATGCATCCGGGCCAGTCCTGCGCCTGAAGCCGGGCCTCTGCCCTGGCCATAGCTTCGGTCACCGCCCAGGCAGGCTCGCCGAAGGAGTTTCCCACGCTGTGGAAGGTAGGCGCCCAGCTCCCAAGTAGGCGGCGGCCGCCGTCTGCGCGGCCGAGGCGCCCATCAGTCAAGTGGAGGAAGCACTGCGCCCGCTGATTTTCGCTGAACACGTGGCGTAGGAATCCCTCCAACGCCTGCACGAGTGTGCCGTCGAATCTTGTCAGCCGGTCCCCGTCCGCGTAGTTGGTGCGGGGCAGGTGCGTGGCGCACCCCTTGCATTAAGTTTGGAGCAGCCAGGAGCACTCCCTCGCCACGAGTCCAACGTACCGACGGAGTTTACAAGGACGGAATATGATACTTTTCAAAATGCAGGTCTCGCCCCAGCGCCGCGCGCGCTCGTCCAAAACAAGTTCAACAAGGACACGGATGGATGGGGTGGTGGTCAAACACATGTGGCCCAATGTCGGCCTGGATCGGTGTACACGCCCTCCTGGCTTGGCTAGAAGCACCCGGGGCCATGCTCGGCTTGGCCAGGATCGGGGTCGGTGTCTTATTGGCGCCCTCTCCAGTAGATGGACGAAATATTCGAACACTTACATGTTCGAGGGGATTTCTGATCATGCCCCCCCCGCCCCCGAAATCAATTTTGATCTCAGCAAGGTGGTGCTTTGGGGGTTTGAATATTTCTGTCCACCCAGGCCCCCTGCTGCGCAACGCCCTCAATATTAATTTCGGGGGGTCTGGGGGGCATCTTGGGCCACAAGGTTCGAATCTAATGTCCGTGTACGGACCTGCTCGTCCTCCTCACCCCACCTCCTCTGTCCCGTGGTCATTGTGGCTGTCAGTCTTCGCTCCTTCTCCCCCGCTCGTTTCCCCAGCCCTCCTTCACATCCTTGCCTCCGGATGGCGGGCGGGCGCGCGAGGGGGGAGGCGCAGGAGGAGAGAAAGGAGAAGGACGAGGAGGACCAGGTCAAACCCAAGACGCATCAACGATGTTGCAGTAGACCCTCCCTCGAATTTCCCCCTTCATAGGGCCCGAGAGTAATATCTCATGCATGTGTATATAGGTATGTGTATATAGATATAGAGAACAATATACATATCTGTATTTCCATTGCGGCATACAACCGTCTGATAATCCTGAATCGTTCGGAAACGGAACGCCTTCGATTTCCGCATCGCAAATCAATGTGACTGTTTCCGACCCTGCGAATTCTCGATCCCCCTGCACACTTTCAAAACGAATGTGCGCGGCGCGGAGGCGAGTACCACCTTTTGAAACAAAACCACCTTCATCCTTGAAACGGTGGCGAGCATTGAAGACGAATTTGCGCGGCGCTGAGGCGAGAACAACATTTGGAAAACCGCCCACCCTCCATCCGTGAGGCTGTTGCACGCTTTTCAAAACGAATGCGCGCGGCGCTAATGCGAGAGCCACATGTTGAAAACGGCACGCACTCCCTCCTTGACACTATTGTACACTTTTCACAAGAATGTGCGAAACGCTGATGCGAGAAATGCATTTTTCAAACGACAGGCCCTCTGTCCGTGAAGCTGTTGCAAATTTCAAGCTTCAGCGTCATGAATGGTGTGGAGCACGCCCTACGGACATGTCTGGGGGTGAGCTGGGAGGAGTTCTACAAAGCAAGAGGGATGGAGGAGGAGGAGGAGGAGGGGGAGGAAAAGGAGGAGGTGGACAATGATGGCGGTGATGATGATGATGATGATGATGATGATGATGATGATGATGATGATGATGCTGATGATGATGATGATGATGATGCTGATGATGATGATGATTCTGATGATGATGGTGGTGGTGTTGATGGTGATGGTGATGGTGATGATGACGATGATGATGACGATGATGATGATGACACTGCTGATGATGAGGAGGAGGAAGAGCAGGAGAAGATGAGGAAGCGGGGGAGAAGGAGGACGAGGAAGAGGAGGATGACGAGGAGGAGGAGGGGAGGAGGAAACGACGGAGGAGGAGGAGGAGGAGGAGGAGAAGGAGGAGGAGGAGGAGGAGGAGGAGGAGGAGGAGGAGAACGAGGAGAGAGGATGACATATGCGTCTGCAATATGCAAATAGATGCGTAAAGATATTAAGAGGGAGAGAGAGAGAGAGAGAGAGAGAGGGATACAGAGAGAAATAGAGAAATAACGAAAGACAGTGGGAGAGGAGGTGGGGGAGGAACCTCTCACTTCTCTCCCTCCTCCCTCCTCTCCTCTCTCCCTCCTCCCCTGCCGCCTGCGCCGCCACCTCCTCTCGTCCCGTCCTACTTATCCAGCCCCTCCCTTCCCCCCCCCCCTCATCCGCTCCTCCGCATCCCCCCCCATCCTCCGCTCCGCCCCCTCAGGGGGCGCCCCTCCAGCGAATGGGGGCCCGCAAGCTGGGGCTGCGCGCCAGCCGCGGGCGGAAGCGCGCGCATTCAGGCGGGCAGCTGCGTGGAGTCTGGCTTGCCCCCGCGCACCTGGTGCCCGCGGGCTGCGGAGGACTGAAGACCTTCCTTCTCCTCCTCCTCCTCCTCCTCGTCTTCTTCCTCCTCCTCCTCCTCCTCCTCCTCCTCCTCCCCTCCTCCTCTTGGCGGCGCGCGGAAAGGGGTATGGGGGAGGGCGGAAGGCTTCTGAGAAGCAGGCTGCTTCTTAGAAGGCGCCAGCCTTACATCTATAGACAAGGCCCGCGCCTTCTAAGAAATAGGGGTTCCTCTAGGAAATCCTTCCCCCTCTCCCTACCCCCCTCTGCGCGTGGCCGCTCCACCCTCCCCCTCCTCCTCCTCCTCCTCCTCCTCCTCCTCCTGGATGAGGGTGGGATTTTTGCTTCGCAGGACCCCTTGATGAAACCCGTGAGGGGCCCGCGAACAGGGCTCACGACAACCCTGCAGCTGGAAGACTGCACAAGCGGGTTGACTTTCTAGTGAAGGTCGACTGAGAAATACTTTGGACTCAATGTTAGCAAGAGTCGCCAGAATCTGCCCGGGCACGTGGCCGAGGCACGAGAGGCTGCTTGTCGTCGTCGAGGCGAAGGGTTGTGGCAACTCTGGAAAAAAACGGGCCTCGCAAAGGTCACCTCCTCGTCGGGGGGCACAGGACTGCGAGGAGATGTCTTCAGGTCACAAGACACCTGGGACCCAATTAGCGACAACATAGCAATGCTCTGAAGGACCGCGCATGTAGCGCGGCCTCCGAAGGGCCCGCGTAACTGGGGAAGAGGCGACAGGCGATACGGGCGAAATTCTTACGCCCTTTCTTGTTGGCGGTCTCGCATTCGTCGGCCAAGAACCGAGGGTCGACAGTGGCCGTGCTCCCGCGCGTGCTGCAGAAGAGAAACGAGGAACGCGGCCAAAACAAAAGTGTGTGGGAGCTGTGCAGAGTCCTTCCCCTCAACCGAACCTCCCCGTCCACCGCTCGAAAACCATCATCAGCTGGGCCCACAGCCTCAACATCGGTGTCTCGTGGTGCAAGCGAGCAAGCAGACGTTGGCGCTGTCGCAATATCCTGTTTGTTAACACTGGCGTGGCACAAACTACAGACATACTTGTAGGAAGGCTGCAGCACAACGCGTTGCTCGCTGCTAAGCATAGCTTGCTCGACAGAGCCCACCATCGCCAGGGGGCCTGTCGGGGGCAACCAGGGGGCACCCAGAGATATCCAAGCGATGCCACTGGTGCAAGACATGCCCCGCGAGCTTGCAAGCAGTCTTGGCAACGCGAGTGCAACAACTGAAAGCCTGTTGCTTTTTCTCGGTGGCCTGAGGGTGACACTTGGCGTCAGTTTAGTCGCGGAATCAACGGCCTGGTTGCCTAGCCTGTGCCATCCTTCCTCAAGCTCGTTGCCCGCTTCTTCAAAATCGAGGCGGGTCTTCACCCTAACGGAAGCGACCGAAGATGACCCGATATTGTACAGTATCACGGGCCCAGTGTATGGGCGCTTGTAGGAATTTCCCAAGGGGCATTGGCTAGGTCGACAACCTTTTTTAGTCACTGTAAGCAGCAGGCTGTCCTGAGATCTGAAGGCCCGTCCTGGCTAGAGCGGCGAATTCACCGCGCTGCGGCGTTTGCAAGAGCGGAGAAACAACTGGCGCGTAAATGGTGCATCTCTCCGTGCCATCTCCAAGGAGGGCCAGGCCGTGACCTGCCCGAGGAAGATCGGACATCTGATGCCTTATGCAACTGCCATCTATACACGATGACCCGCGGAAATCGCCATTGTCACGGGGGGGGGTTCGTGCCAAACCTTCCGACCTGGAAATAAGAGCTTTCGCCCGCAGGCATCGGGAAGACGCCCAGAGGGCGGGGGAAGAGGCCGCGGCAGAATAGCATTTCAGTGAAAGGGTCCATCTGATCAGCAGCGCCAGCCGCTTCCCAAAACATCTTGATCGATCAGGTCGGCTCGGGTCGAACCGAGCTTCCCGCGCACCGCGCAGCCATCGTCGGCCAAAGAATAGCCGGTGAGTGAGGTGCGACTGCGCGTCCAAAGTGCATCGCACGTGAGGCTTCCGACGGACATCTTCGCCTTAGCCGACCACCGCTTCCGTCGAAGTTCATTCCGAACGGTCTCGAGGCACAGGCGATCGCAGAGCAGCGCGCGCTTAGCGCACGGCTCGCGCTAAAGTTGCCGATGAGCAGCGGCAAGAAGCATCTTCTGGAGGGGGGGTCGTCGTCACCTGGCTCTTTTCTTCGAAGTCGGACACGAGCGTGACGAAGTTCGACATCTTCTAACTTATCCTAATGAGCTACCATCTCAGAGACGACAGCGGTCCACCCACTTGACGCCAAATGGGCTGAGGTTCCTCGAAAGCCGGGTCCACGGCACTTCGAAGAGAGGGGAGGGACGGAGAGTGGGGGTAGGTATTCGTTTGGGCCGCCCACACCTCTCGACTGTGCCGAACAATCGGGGCCATCGCCAACCCAGGTGGGGTCATCATCGAAGAAGAGCGTCGAGGTGAGGGATCGGCCGGAGGCCCCAGGACGCATCGATTCGCCAGCTTGCCTTCGAATTTTCCCGAGCTCAAAGTCCGAAATGCCAGCCGTGCACTTCGGTCCCGTAAAGGACCCCAGGGAGGGCTCCCGTGACCACAATTCTGAAACGTCCCAGGCTGCATGAGAGCATGACCATCTTCTTAATCGTTTCCTTCAGATGGGCCACCCTCAAACGAAACTACTTCCTGCCATTGGCCGCCCTCCAAAGCCTGCCCGAAGCGTCGTCAATCCCGAGGTTGCTCGCGCAGTTGGCAGGCCCCCCTGCAAGCGGGCCAAGAAACTCGAGTACTTGTGACTTCGCCTCCTTGCTGGAAGTGACGACAGCGGCCTTGTCGCAAGCAGTGCAGCACTCCATGCCAGAAACAATTGCGTGATGGAGGCTTACGGAGATGGCCTTCAAACGTGAGGCCACTTCGCTGGCAGTGCCTGTGCATGGAATGCCTCTATCATCGATGTACTGGTCTAGCTGGGTATTCGGGCGGGAATGATTTTGTCAAAGCTGTCAGTCAATCTTGACGTGCTAGGTCACGAAGCTGCACCCCGCAATCACCCCTTTCCAGGAGAAGAATGGCCTCGCGATCAAAATGCACATACTCAAGACCTGGCGTGGCGATATGCGGCCAACGACGACTTATAAAGCAAGAGCGGGACTTTGAATCAATCGCAATGGTTTCTAGCCTTTACCCAAGATATCTCCTCGTAGAACTTCGTCATGTCCCAGGGCAGGGTGCCCGAGCATGTACCTTTAGAATTGGCTGCTTCTGTTTTCACCATCTGGTGCCTGGCCGCGACCGTGGCTGAGGCGAAGGACTGACCTGGGAAGTGCGGCCTAGCGAACCTGGGCTTCCACTCCCCATGTGCGCAGCGACATCGGCCCCGCAGTCGCTGGAGCGAGCATGGCAGTCCGATCGGCTTCCAGCCTCCGTGCGGCTTCACCAAAAGAAACACTTGCACCAGCGCCAATTGCTCGGCATGCACGGTTATATATTCCATGTAACTGATGACGATACGGCACAACAAAGGCATTCGTCGAACATCTAGGAGTAATGGGGCATGTGGAGCCCGCCCACCGCGCAGGCCGTCCTGGCAGAGTATTTCATTGACACCTCTCTCAGGAAGTGGATCTCCAAAGGCGGGGTGGCCACCTGGATCGTACTTGTGCTTCCAGCGTGGGCCTGGGATTCGGCCTCCTAGACTTTAGAAAACATGGAGGCCTGACTTTGGAGGAGGGCCAGGGGGTCCGAAATCCCGATGCCAAAGACGAGAGGGTAGTGGTGGCCTTCCAGCCCACCGCGGGCTTCCTGGCCGCATGCGCATTCCTGCCCCCCTTGTCAATGCACCAGCGCGCCATTATTCTTCTTCGAAGCCACAGTGTCTCGGCCACCGACCACCGACCAGCGAACGGCCGACCGTCGGCGAGTCCGAAGAGTGTGGTTTGCGAGGGGTGTGGGTTGCCATCGGCACCCTGGGGGGAACCCTGGGGGGCAGGCGAGGACCTCGATCGAGTTCTCCACCGCGCCCCGAGGAGGCCCGACGAGGACGGTGTCGTGCCCCCCAGGCCCCAACGGCGCCGATCCCAAAACACACTCCCGCGTAGCCACACCCTTTGTTTGGCGGCGCGCACAGTGTGGTAGTGGGAGGGGGAAGGCTTCTTAGAAGGAGGCTGCTTCTCAGAAGGCGCCCGCCTTACATCTATAGATACGGCCCGCGCCATCTGAGAAGCAGGGGTGCTTCTCAGAAACCTTCCCCCCTCCCCCTGCCCCCCTCTGCGCGTGGCCGATTCGTAGCCGCCGAGACCGCTCCCCGCACGCATCCTCGGGGGCACCGCTGCGCAGGGCCCCGACCAGTGAGCACTGGCGCGCGCCAGCGGCCGACCGCGGCCCCCGGGAAGCCACAGGGCCTCGGCATGACACGAGCGGGCCCTGAGGGAGACGGGCCCTGGACCCCGGGGGCCTTCCGCCCGCCGCCTCCCCCGGCTGATCTCCTCCGCCTTCCCATCCCCCGCCCTCTTCGCCCGACCCCCCGCCTCCGCCCGGGCGCCCACGGTCATGAGGGAAGCGGGTTCTGGACTGGAGGGAGAGCCAAAAACTGCGTCAAAGTAAAAACTCTCGACGGTCCGCGCGGATTTTCTGGGTCTGCGCTGGACCCCCTCCCTGGCACGCGGAGCGCGCCCGGGGAGACGCCGGAGGCGCCGCCAGGAGGTTCCAACACAGAACCAAGAACTCCGCGCGGAACTCCGAAACTCTACGTCCATGCCAAGTTTTATCTTCCTCGAAAGAAACGTTGGCTGCTCATTCTGGGGACCTTCCCGGAGCCACTCGCTCCACTCGTGCCAGCTGCGTCGAATGTCCGTTGATTTGAGTCGATCTTGAGTCGAACCTGAATCGAACTTTCATCGAACTTGAGTCGAACTGGGGTCGAACAGATCCGTTAGGTGGGCCCCAAGAAGGTCCCCAAAACGCGCATCTAAGAAACGGGTCCTGAGGGAAATGGGTTCTGGACCCCGTGGCCATCCCCCCAGACCAGCTCCTTCATCCTGAATCGTTCCCGGGGCCCGTGGAGGGCCCCGAGAGCTCGAAAACATAAGCACCCTCGACTTTATCCCGATCCCTAAGCTTGCCGAGCCAGACGGCGATGACAGTCTCAGGGATGCGCCCTCGAAAACTGAAGGAGTCCTTAAGATCGACATCGAGATGAGGCGATTGCACTCACAGGGATAGGGTTAGGTCGGGCATGTCCTCCTACAGGCGGATTTTGGAAGACAAATAATAGATAGTCCAACAATGCTCAGCAATAGTCAAAAGAGCACGAAAAATCATCCCCAGACCACCCCGGAGTCACCAAAGCCCCAAACACCCCAAGACGAACCAAGACTGCCCCAAGAGGCCCCCAAAACGGTCCAAGAGGGCCACGAATCGCCGAACTATCGGTTCAAGACGCCAAAGTAGCCTCCAGACGGCCCAAGAGGCTTCCAAGACGCCCCAAGAGGCCTCCAAGAGCGGTCCCAAGAGGCAAACATGGTTGATTTTCCTAACGTTTTCAATGGATTTTGGGATTCTCGCCTTTTCGGCTTTCCGACACTCCAAGACGGACAAGAGGCCCGCAAGATCGCCCCGAGATAGCCCAAGAGGCTTCCAAGAGGGCCCCAAAACGACCCAAGAGGGCCCCAAGACGGCCCAAGAAGCCTCCAAGACGGTCCAAGAGGCCCCCAATACGGCTCCAAGAGTACCCAGACGGTGGACTTGAACTCGAGCCCTCGGCCTGAGAGGCTCCCGGGAAGCGCCAAGCAACCACCAAGACGTCCCCAAGAAACCTCCAAGATGCGCCCGGGAAGCCCCAAGAGGCCCCCAGGAGCCGCCCAACGGGCACCCAAGAGGCTCCCAAGAGGCTCCAAACTTACACCCCAGAGGCGCCCGAGAGCGCTCCGAAGAGACCCCAAGAAGCATCCCTGAGGACTCTGACCCACGTCAGCATCGTCGTCGTCATCGTCGTCGTCGTCGTCCTTTCGGCGGCACCGGCCGTAAGGCCTCTCCGATCATGTTTTAGCAGGTGGAGCAGCTCGTGCAACCCATCTTTGGGAGCAAGCTTGAGCCAATGCTTGGGATCATTTCTTTTCCTCACAGAAGAGCTTACAAAGAACCCCAATGACTGCGTCCGCGTTACTCCCGCGCCCCATGTCGTCACTCCACTCACGAATTTAGTACCCCATGAAGTCCTGAGAAACATAATTACGTCCAGGCTCAGACATCGCATTCATGACCCTAGCACCCCAGACGCACAGCGATGGCGTTTCCAAGGTACAGCCCTCGTTTCCAACGTCCGCCCCTGGCGCTTCCAAGGTTGACCTTATCTAAGCTTGGCGTCTCCAATTTCTTTGGTTTCCGTCCTGGCTTCCCGGGTTCAAACGTCGACCTGGTGGAAGAGGGATCGGCCTGAAGTGGAATCGGAGATAGATTGACGATGTGGTCTTGATGGCGAAACCGCACGCTCCTGGGCAGGGTACAGACTGTAGGACGCACAAGCCCCGATCGACGACGAATGGGCGATGGGTCGATGCCCCTCCCCGGGCCAATCCCTCCTGGCGCCGCTCCTGATACCCAGACCTCGAGAGTTTTGAAGCCGCTCACCCTGCCAAAAGACGAACCACAACACATGCTTGGGCGCGGCACGACACGGGACAACCTGCGCCACAGGTTGCGCCGTAGGTTGCACCATACGTCTTGCCCTCGCTGTGTCGGGCCAGACACACATATCCAAGGCCCTGGAACTTGGGACTTCGACGAACCAGGACAGACGCCCGAGGAAACTGCATCCGTGGGTCGAAAGGTTCTTAATTTCTCGTTCTCTCCGGGTGGAAATCTCAAAGTTCTGGTTTGCAGTGTCCTGGTGTCGAAGCCTGGACAATGTTGCGTCATGGGCTGCGCCGGACTCCCTTGGCCACGGACTCCTTGGCCCACCGCCGCTGCACCCATTCTAATTCCAAGGAGCCTTGCAGAATCCTTATTGCATCTGCTGCTCAAGAAACCACGAGACAGACTTTTCCAAGCTTGGCCCCCTGGGTGCCCGTTGCTGGGGCCAAAGTCATCAAAAAGCTGTCCGTGACGAGAAAGTGGCTCCGTGGACTGAGGTCGGGGGGCTATACAACATCCTGGGGCCCAGGGCGGCCTGGGCCAGGGGCCAGTGGAGGTGGTGCACACATGCCTTCTGTGCATTCTTAGAGTCGATCTCAGAACGTGTGTTAGCGCCAGCGTGTGCTTGCCCACCGAGGCCCTTCAATACGACACAGGCGGCGCAACAAGGGGAGACACAGGCTGCGCGCCATCGGCGGAACCGAATGGAATAAACACGCGCTCGGGCTAACACACGGCCTGCGGATCATCAATAGAAGTGTTCCGCCCCTTCTCGAAGGCTTCCGAAAAGGCTTTCATCGGCGGCCAGCCCCGGGGGGAAGTGAGAGGGGGCGGGCCTTCTCAGAAGGCTCGGAAGTCCCCCAGCCTTCTGAGAAGTTTTCTAAGCATTCCCTGAAGACGCAGGAAACTTCTGAGAAGGTGAGAAGGCCAGAGGCCTTCCGAGAAGCCCCGCCGCATTCTGAGAAGGCCTTCCTTCTCCTTCTCGCTTCCCCTCCTCGCTCACCGCCGATTCTCAGAAGGCAGGGGGGGGGGCTTCTGAGAGGCAGGGTGCCCCCTGAGGCGGCTGGCCCCTCCGCCCCGCCCCCCGGCCAAAGGCCGCCCAAAGCCGGTCCCCAGACTCCTCCTGGGGCCCATCCCAGCGAACTTCTCGTCGAGCTGCATCCCGCCGTTGCGTACACGTTGCCGCCGAGGCCCGAAGGAGGCCCTGGAAGAGCAGAGACGTGGAACGCCCCTCCCGTCTCTGGAGGCCTCGGAAGTTCCCCGTGGAGGCCTCCTCTGGAGGACCCACAATCAAAAAGTCCAGAAACCTCGATCTCCTCGATCCTCTGTCCTCGAGCCTCTTCTCGATCCTCGATCCTGTCCTCGAACCTCAATCGTCTCCTCGACCCTCGATCGTTGATCCTCGACCCTGGGTCTTCTCCTCGCTCCTTGAACCTCGATCCTCGATCTTCTCGATCTCCTTCTCGATCCTCGATCCTCCCTCGCCCTGTGAGATTCTATAGAGCGCGCGGCCGGGGCCTGAGGGACGCTCATGTCCGTGCGCGGGTGCTTCGACATCCGCAGGCGCCGGTTCTCCTCGTTGCGCTCTGGCACTGGCCGCATCTGGCCCATGTAGTGCAGTTTCGGGTCCCCATTCGGGGGCCTGGCAGCAGACGACGGCGGCGGTGACGAGCATGACGACGGCGGCGACCATGAAGATGACACAGGTCCCACACGAGCAAGGGAAGTGGGGGATGCAGAAGGAAAGAGCGGGAAAACGAGAGCGAGCAGGCAATGACCAAAGGAAGCTGTGGATCGTTACAAGGGGGGTGCAGGGGGACGGGAAGCCCTGTGAGCAGACCGCCCCTGACGCTCCCAGGGCGGAGGACACCGCCCCCGAAGACAGTGTGGCAGCACGGATGAACACATGAGCAACAAAAAAACAGAGCAGCAGGAAACTAGACGCGACGAGACGCTGCAATGCGCGCTGGGGCGCGGCCCTATTGAGAGCGCAACTGGGGGGCCGTAGCGCACGGAGCGGAGGAGGAGGAGGAGGAGGAGGAGGAGGAGGAGAAGGAGAAGGAGGAGGATGGGGAGGAGGAGGAAACCGGATGAGGAGGATGAGGAGTTAGGGAGGAGGTAGGGGGTGAGAAGGAGGAGGAGGATGAGGAGGATGAGGAGGGGGAGAAGGAGGAACCGAGGAGGAGGAGAATGAGGAGGGGAGGAGGAAGCGAGGAGTAGGAGGAGGAGGAGGAGGGGGAGGTAGGAGGGGGAATCGAGAGGAGGAATGATGAAGGAGGTAGCGGAGGAGAAGGATAAGTGGATGAGGAGGATGATGACGATGACGAGTAATATAAAGTCCGTACGTAGTCGTAGTCCGTCGTCGGGTCGTCGCGTCGTAGTAGTAGTATTAAGTAGTGAATATATTAGTAGTAGTAGTAGTAGTAGCAGTATAGTAGTCAGTATTAAGTAGTAGTATAGTAGTAGTAGTAGTAGTAGTAGTGTAATAGTACTAGTCGTCGTAGTCAGTTTAAGTATTAGTATTAGTAGTAGTAGTAGTAGTAGTAGTAGTGGTAGTAGTGGTAGTAGTAGTAGTAGTAGTAGTAGTAGTAGTAGTAGTAGTAGTAGTAGTAGTAGTGTTAATAGTAGTAGTAGTAGTAGTAGTAGTAGTAGTAGTAGTAGTAGTAGTAGTAGTAGTAGTAGTAGTAGTAGTAGTAGTAGTAGTAGTAGTAGTAGTAGTAGTAGTAGTAGTAGTAGTAGTAG